CATGTGGTTGACCCCCACAAGCAAACTCAAGGCTTTCTTTTCTCGTTTTATAATTTTAATGTGTGTTACGTAATTTATTTTTCAGTTTGGTTTTGCCTGTGGGCGCCAGTTTTGGCTGTGTCCCAGGACGACGTACTTTGTGATTACAGTGTTCCTAATTATCTAATTGTTGCCTTGGAAACAGCTGGCACCCAGCCAATAAGACTTCAGAGCTAACAAGTGATGCATACTTGATCCTGTTCTTTTAGATAAGCAATCTTATTTTGTTGTTGAAATGCATGCACAGGTTCTTGTATAACATATATTTCTCCGTTATTTAATTTGTTTACAGTATTCCTACTGAGGAGTGCTGGAAGATTAGCATAAATCTGCAGCAGCTTTGTGAACAGCTTATAGGCCTAAAAAAATAAGCAAATCAATTCCGATGTACAAATAGAACATGCTTAGCAGGGAGAGAATATACATGTAGTCTGACCAATGCATCTTCTGGTTGTCAGATTTCCGGGCAAAAAAGGGATATACTGTGTTCTGACAATCTGGGATTAAATGATCACTGTTCTGCAGTGGGAACTTTGCTTTGCCTAACAAGATTCCACCAAAGAGAGAGGAAAACACTGAAAGCAAAAAAACCAAGTAATACATTCTGAATTTTCTTGCATGCGTCTCTCACATCTGAGTGTTAAGTTTTTCAAGTCTAATTAACTCTGTAACATTTTGATCGAGAAAGCCAAGATAAACCAGCATAAGAAGAGAATGCTAGTACTTCATCGCAAGCTGAAGTTTCAACAAGATCTGACTACAAAACTCATGTCTCCACCATAAGGTGTATGCTGAAAACATCATATCACACCACAAATCTGTAAAAGTCTTGTTTTCAGTCTGATGATTAATGGTTTACTGTAGACAGTGATGTCATCCTACCAAATTATGACAAATCAGTTTGCCTCAGACCGATGTTTGGCTAGCTAGTGCCTCACACTGTGGCCAGTGCGTCATACTTCTCGCGGCTGCTCACTCACACAGCCATCTGTGCAGGCCGGCCCGGGTGCGGAGTGGCTTGGTGTTGGCCGAGATGAGTAAAGATGCTTGTTTAGATGAGTAAAGATGATGCTGAATAATTGCCATAGAAAAATGGTCATTTATTAATGGCTTGCGGTTCTGATGGTGCGTACACCTACTTGCACTCACCCTGGATGTACATGTACAGTCACCAAGACCATTGTGGTTAGCAGGCAGTATGTGACTCATGATGGGGGAGGGGGTGAAAAGTTCAGATCTAGGTCTTCTACCAGTTGAAATCCTGGCATTGTGTACATGTATTGTGAATACTCGCAGCGTGATTTGACGCATGTGGATGGAACCAGGTACATGTATCGTACCCGTTTCCAAACACGGCATGACTCTGCAAGTGTGATGTCAGCAACTGTATAGCTATTAACAGGTGTGTTTCACTTTTAAGGAGGTTGTTACTGATGGTGTAAAAATTTCAGTCTCTGGTATTGCTGGTACCCTAAAGGAACCAGGTACATGTACCATCCATTTTCTGGATGGGTATCTGGTATCTGGGAATTGGTGGCAACCCTGTGAAAGGCCCAATTAGTTCACAAAGACAAAATCAGATTTTAACATTTATCGGATTTCTGATGATTAGGTGAGTTCTGAGTGATTGTTACTGTTGCACCATGAACAGCACGAGATGAGTTTGATTACTCTCAGCTTGCGTTTTGTTCATTGTAATCCGTCATAGCTGACCTGAATGGCAGAGCAGCCACTGGCGTGCAGTTTGGGAAAAAGAAGAAAGGAGAAATACATGAATTCAGGCACAAAGCCCACATCTGACATTGCCTGGCTGTTTCCGAGCATGTTGCCGAGGACACACTTTTTTTTGCTATTTTTTTCCCTTGCCAGTGCATGCATATTTGATACATTTCCAGCAGCCACTTTTCTGAAGTGGCCTGTTACACTTGTAGCCACAGGTAAAAACAGGTGCATCAGTGATACACCTAGATCGTCAATTTCACAATCCGTTCATCTAGAGTTGTGCCCTGTCAGTGAACATCAACACGAAGTGGATACAAATGAAACACTCCATCCCAGGCCTGTTTCCTGGCTTTTGGGGATACCAAAGAAACTATCCCAGAAAAAAAGAGATTTGGTTTCACCTTGTTGATGTTCAGGGGTTGTCCTTTTCTTTTCCCAGTGGAAGTGAAAGATTTGTCCGTGGTTTGGAGAGGGTTGTTTCCGAATGCGGAGAAAAGTGATACAAACGCCTGGCCCAAGTTTAATTATTGAACTGTTCAACGCATAGGGTGCTTATCAGTTGCGGCAGGCAGAGACACGGTATTGAGAAATGAGAGACTTGTTGTAATTATGTTGTGGAATGTAATGTGCTGTTTGCGCCCGTGTGTGTCAGGTTCGCCTGTATTGTGTGACATCTTGACCGGAGCGTTGCAGCGCTTAATGCCCTAAGCATCCAACGAAAACCGTAAATGCTACACAGAGAGTCATTAAGAGCTTGCTCACCGTGGAAGGCCCGATGCATCGCCTCGGTGACAAACAGTATCATCCTGCACGCTCGGAGTGGCGTATTGAATCAGAAATTGGCCGGTGATAAATTTTTCTTGTGTTTTGGTTTCTCGGGAGAGGTTGGGCTTTGTTGCAGAGGTGACCGGGGATGGAGTGTTTTTTATCGGATGGGTTGACTATGGCCGAGGTTTTGCAAATGACAGCAGCTAGACTTACACTTGTTTAAGCATTACTCCTTGGGGCTTGACTCCAGGGTTTGTTTTGTTTCTGGTTATTGTGAGCTCCATGTATTTCAAGCGAGGGGTGCTGTATTTGATCAGCATATAATGCAAGATGATGCGGTGCCGTTGAACCCACAGTTATTGTACTATCCGCATTTCAAGTGGCCATTGAAGTGATAGTGCAGAATACCTTTCTTCTGTCCACCGAGTCAAGGACCTACACGGTGCTAATGCTCATCAGTTATTGAAGTTGTCAAAGGGCATATTTTACTGAGGTGCATGTTATTTTGAGATCTTCCTGAGCCCATACTATAAAAGCTGCACATGTACTCCACTCAGGGGCAAGAGATGGCATGCTTTCACATAGAAACTACGGTCTTTTGGTGAGAACTTAGGAGTGGAGATTCAGGGGTGTTTTCCCAAGCATGCAAGACTATTTTTGACTGATTTCAAGAGTGCCTTTGCAAATGCAGAATGCATGCATTAATACCTTGCAGCATACCTGTGATATGGTGTTAGAAAGAAACTTCAGAGGTATCATTCCTGTTGTGGGCTACTTTCTACATCTCCTAGCATTCATTGGGATAGAGCCATTCAAAACTCTGACGTGTGATTACCTGAAATTTGTGGCTGCCACTCCTGGCAATGCTCTCGAGTGCATTCTTCATTTGACTGTTTAAATACAAGTGCTCGAGTTTATTTCTCTGGTCACTGATATGGTGCACTCAAGCTTGTGGAACATCAGGTGAATTTAAAAGTATATTTGGCATTGCATTTAAACACCCTCAGTTGACCATTTTGTTTTTTTTTTTCAATTTGAGGAGGTGGGAACCCGACATACCGTGGCTGGACTTAAACACCAAAGGGGAAATAAAAACTAGATTATTCAGAGCGAGCAAACACTGTGTTAGGGGTTGAGGTAACGGAGGGTATTGACACAGTGATGGAGGCCCTGCTCAAGTTTCTGGCAGAGAGCTGGGATGAATCACTGCCAACAATCTGCTCATGAACTGGGAGATGAAGTGGTAGAGGCGGGGGGGGGGGGGGGGGGGGGGGGGGAGGAGGTTGTTGTAGAATGGGGCAGGAATAAAGATGGTGATATTTAATGTTTTGAATACACTGTTCGCTTGATCTGAGGTGCATTTAGGCACAGGTGCTCAAGCAGAGTTGAGAATGTGCATTTTTTTGTCAAAGACCACTAGGACTATTGCATTGCATATATGCTTTCCTCTGATTCCAGAGCGAATAGTACTCGAACTGTAATGCAAGATAGCTGCCCACTGAAATTTCAGTTCTTATGGTGCTCTGATTTTTTCATCAAACGTTAAAAGCACAATTGCATTTCCTAGTTCTGTTTTCCAGGGATTTTGATCCCTGCTGTACCCTACTCTGCTTTCAGTCTTTGTGCAATTTTAGCAAACTCGCCCAGACATCAGTGGTCCACCTGCTCCTGAGTCACTGCTGAATTCTGCGTTTCAAAAATACTGTGATGTCCCACACTGACTCTTACAACTGACTATGAGCAATTTCACATAAAGGCGAATGTCAGGTCACGCTGTCACTGACCTCATTAAGTGACCTCATTATCATAGGTATTCTTCAACAATGGTGAACTTCAGAGTGATCAGATTTCCATTTTTGCACAGAATTGTCCTGATCTTGCCTTCCTGAGTTTGCCCTTTCAAATGATACAGTTGTGCCTTGTTAATGTGCTTTTCCATTTACAGTATGTTTATGCACTGTTTAGGTTGCATTAGAGCTCTTTATATTGAGAGAGTAGTGCTAACTTCAGACTATGGAACCAAAATGGCTGTTCCTTATATGTGCAATACAGCAGGCGGCCATAATGTACTTATTGTCCATGTGCACTGACACATGTAAGCCACCATTTTGGTTCCATTAATTGAGACGTTCATGTCGCAACTCTCTAGAAACAGTTCTGGGTTGCACAGCAGGGAAAACTAGAAAAGATGGTGTGTATGTGGCACAATGAGAAATGCTTGTGTGGAAAGGAGATTTGTCTGAATGACAGTCCCAGATTAGTTTTGTGTAGTCTTGGTATACTTTACTGCAAATAAGATATTCTAGCTCAGTCAATTGACTTCAGGGATCATTTCTCAATCCTGTTGGTCCGTTGTTTCATGGTAGGTGTTTGCATTGTGGATTGGGAGGGCAGTATACCTACAGTACAAGCATTTATTAGTCTGTGATTGTAACTTACAATATGGTTAATTTGACTGTTATTTCATGCAGATTGTACCATGCCCAGCAATATCAAGATGTGCGTTAGGTCACTGCGGACACCAAGAAGATTTCATGATGTGTGAACCTGGTAGGCCATGCCAACGTTGAGCAACTTTCAATCTTGGAGTGCATTTCTTGTAGTTAAGAATTCGCATGAGTTTTGTTTTTTCACTGACATATTTTACAAATTTGAAACATTTTGTCGAGTTTATGCATTGTTCAATTTCATCCAGTTATTATTATTTTTTGCCATGTACTAATCACACACATAAACCATTTTCTTAGAGTTCAACCCATCGTTTATAAGTCATAATAACATGTATGAGCCAAGTTCATAATTTCATGCAGGTATAAGAAAAAGTTTAGCAACTTGGGTGTTGCTGAGCAGTGGCCCTGATGTCATTACAAAGTTCATCAGAAGTTAAATCCGAAGTAAGGCAATGCATCTCTGACAGCTAGGAATAATTTGTCACTTTACTTGAGCTGGATATCTTATGGCTCACTTATGGTCCAACAGCATCCCTCCCCGCATATGATAAACTTGCAGAGTTGAGGCGGGCAGTGTGTTTATATGCAGAGAGCTACTTTTAGTTTTCATAAAATATCATAAAATCAATAGACTGTGTCACTTTAATCTTTATGGGGGCCCAGATATCTTAATTACGCATACCTTTCCTCCACTATTTAAATCTTAGTAGTGCCAGCAAGACCAGCGTGATCAATGAAAAAGAATGTGTATGTACATGGGATGGGGTGGGTGAGGCTGTTGGTGTGGGGCCACTGTGTATGCCATTGCAAGGGGGAAGGGGATCTGCACAAAGTTGGTAGTTTTTGTTGGCAGAGTTGTGGATGGCCTGTTTGGGTTCTCCCCTGATGACTTGGTAATAACTCACAATAACTTAAGATAAATAACTTAAGAAGGAACACTAAAAAATACACGGCGGTCAGTGTTGTAGTCGAGACCAGCGCAAGACCAGTCACAAGTAACCGGGTGAACAGTGACAAGAGAATGCTTTAGTTGGGGTTCATGTGAATAGCTTGTGACTTCAATTCAGACTGGAGGTCATGTGTTGGTCTTGTGTGGTCTTGTAAAGATGGTTTCCCCTGCAACACTGACTACAGTTCAGATGTCGCTCTCACTGTTTAGTCTTTGTATTTTCTATTGATTGTACGTTCCTTTTTACAACACATTCATAAGAGCATGGTGTAAGGTAAGGCAAGTTTGTAGTTACATTTAAGTAAATTTGACTCCCTACAGTCCTGATGATCTGTTTGAATTGAGACATAGTACACTCTTGGCCTTCCTTTTCTTCATTGAGCTAGAATTGTGCACTGTTTTCGGCAATTACGATGTAGCCGTAGGAGCATGTCACGACACCTTGGTGCTCATCGCCCCTTACTTATTTCATGTCAGTTAACAATGGAAGACTTTGAGACGCTGTTGGTAGCAGACATACCGGTCCCTTTTCAAGGCATTGTGAATACTCATACAGCGCGTGCATGCTCAGAACTGGTAAAAAGGACCGATATGTTTGTCGCCTCCAAGTATCTCAAAGTCTCAAATTAATGTGTGTAAGCCTATCACTAGAGATGTCCTGTTGCTTTCTTAATCATTCCGTTTGGTGCATATTCACATTAATTGTAATTTTGTCACTTTCTGCTTACTAATGTAATTATTTGCTGCAGTTTTTTTTCATTTACTGGTACAATTCTGAGTTGTTTATTAGCTTGCATACTCAGTAGTTACGACTTATTGGGTCTACCCAATTGCAGCTTATTTGTAAAGTGTACTTCATGTGAGACCAGTTATAAAACCTCATTTATGTCAGGATTAATATGTCCTTGTTTGGATATAGATGCAGCTGTCTGCTTTCACCGGCTCGTTTTTTAACATTTTATGGGACATGTATGGTTCAAAACAATTGATCATAATACACTGCAGTTATACATGTATTACACATATCAGGGGAATAAATGTCCATCGGATCTTTATTTGAGACTGTGTGTATGCAGTGTATATAGTTGGCTTGTGTGGATACATGGCTTTTATAAAAGAGTTGAGGGGAGTTAAATGCATTGTGCAAGTGAGTTCTTCTCTCTGGTGATGTTTTTCTGGTCAATAACTTGTGCGTTGTTGAAGCGATGTAAATGTTTGTGACTAGAAAAGCTGGGACAGATGGCCAAACAGATAGCAATGATAAAAACTGCGGTTTTTCAGTGAAGTCAGTGGCCTTCCTGGCAATCGGAGGTTTTGCTGAAAATACAGCAACTGTACCAGGAAAAGTAAAATGAGCGCCACGACCATCAGGCCCTTTGAACTCCATAGAAAAACTGATCTGCTTTAATTTTTCCATCAGACTTGGAAAAAACAAATGCCACCGTGTCTTTGTCAGTATGACAGAAAGTGTCTGAAGTCCAGGAAGATTTGTCCTGGGCCCACCAGAGATTTTGTAGGGGATTATGGGCTTGGAGTGGTGCAAAATCCCCCCCCCCTTGCAGCTGCCCAAATCTCAGGTACAGTAACAACAGTGATCAGAATGACAGCACTTGTTAACTGCTGTGTGACAGCCCTGTCAAGTGCAAAATTATTGCAGAGAAAGTATGGAAAAAAACCTGATTGACATGACTTCTTCTAGGAAACTGATATTTTGAATGCTGACAAACCAGCAAAGACAAGAAATCGGTGAAATTCAATGAAATGTGAATTCAGTGAAATTTAAAAAACAAAAACAATCACCAAGGCGAGGAGTAGGCCTACTGTTTATTTAATTAATCAACGCTAATAGAGAACACACAGACTGCTCTGGAATGTTTTCAAACCTTTTATTTAAGGTAGCTTTTACTTTCATTTTCCTAAATTAAGAAGAGTTCCCTGAAAAAAGATCAGAAATTGTCCACTTCCCTCGAGTCAGATTTTTACCATACCAAATAAAAGCACTGGCCTTTAATTTCTTCTTTTAAGAGGGGCTGAGAAGTGGACGCATCCGTTTGCCAGAGCAAGTGTCTGTTGGAACACTTGAACAGCCCAGCATCCTGGACAGACAAACTGACAGGCAGATTGAACCAGCCAATGGTGTCCAAACACCATAGAAAGATCATGAACTGCATCTACATGTATCAAGCATGAAGTATAATATACATGTCATCTCGATTGAGTGATGTACACCTCCTGGTTACCCGTTCACCCTCAAAATTATCTCCCAATTTCAAATAGGCATACATGTGCCTTCTCCACAACTGGTGGCAGAAAAATTGGAGGGAGGGGTGGTGGTCTGCCCCTTTTTATTACTGGGTGTGCCATGTTCTTGGCAGGTCAAAAAAAATGTACCGTAGGCTCTGAATCTGTTTACACCTACCGGTATAGAATAAGTTGTCTGGTCTACTTCACTCGAATACTCACACAGCTGGTCCCTCATTTTAAAAATCCTTCTGTCGCCATTTGCCCCAGCCTCAACAATAAGGAAATAAGGCGATTTAAGAAAAAAGTTTTAACGTTTAATTTTAAACATTTAGACCATTTCCTTCACTCCCAATAGAAAAAGGAATTAGGGACTAGTCACCGCAGGAGGAACTTGAATAATAGCTGAACTCAAAACTCTTGAAAGAACTGCCTTCACGACCTTTAACACTGGACATGATGCTGAACAAGCCTATCTTTGATTCTCACCACCAGCTGTCTTACACTGCACCTGACAAGCCAGACATGCAGTTGACCTTTGCCCCCGCGCCCTTCGGCCCTCTTGGCCTCACTGTGCCCCAGAAATACACAATGTAATGTTACATGCTTCCACCGTGACAGGTGCTAAGAACTACAGCCCGCTCAACCAGATTTCAACCCAAGGTAGAGGACCGGTGTCAGCTGTGCAAAGTGAAACAAGAATTTTGTTTCCAGGAAATGCAGAGAGCTGCCCAGGTATGTGGCACCTCCTTTTTTTGGCAACTTTTTTTTCAGTCCTGCTTGATATATGATATAACATATTTATAAATGCATTTCCTTATTTTTCAGAAAATGTGCTTTGATCACGGATTCTTTACACCAGGACTGTGTGTGCTTTCCATTTTACAAACACTAACATTGTGCCACCTGGTATGATGCTTGCTTGCATAAAAGCGGCATGTTCACGACACATGCAACACCTTGACAAAGAAAGTGTGTTAGTGTAGAGGTACGGGACACCCAGTTGGTTTTTCCATGGTAACTTTTTGTGTGAACGAATGAGTGTAAATGTTCGGCCTTTCAAACTCGTACATGTACCTTGTGAGAGGGAATTGTGGGGATTGCATTGTTATGTGTTACTATTTGGTACTCACATGCTCGCTGCAGATATTCTGTGGATAGTTGATGGTATCACAGCCACTGAGGAGTCCAATCTTTTTGCCCCCCAAAATCCATCTGTGAGTTGAATTTGAATGATGTCTGGTACCCTTAGTTTTGTTTGTTCATCTTATGTAGGCTAACTTGAATTCCCCAGTCTGACTTCTTGACTGCTTTATTGTGTGGCATGATTTTTGAATGACTTATGCCCGATCAGCAATTTCCAGCTTTAGGAATGGTCTGGTGTCTTTAAAAAAGTATGTGTTTAGTGTAGAGAATTCATAGGTAACATGTGAATTGTTGGGTGCACAAAATCTTTGTATCATTGGAACTTGATTTTCTAGTGGCTCATATGATGAAACTCGCCTTATTTCTAGAGGAAAGCATTGATCAAGTTTTGTTTCGCTTTCATTTCCCATGCAAATTTCCTCACATGCACTGTTTTGTCACTTTAACTTGACACTTTTTTACTCTTTTGTGTGATTTCCTCATCGTGGCTTCAAAGCAAAAAAATATCCGCATACCATAAAGGTATACAAATATATATTCATAATCTGTTGCGTACAGTTTCTCATAAATTTCACAGAAATAGGAGAAGATTGCTGAAAGTATAATCTTGACCTAGTATTTCTATGCCATTCCCAAGCAACAGAATGATTTGCTTAGATATTCCTCAAATTTAAAACTGAATTTTTTGCGTAATTTTACGGTATGGCTGAATTTCCACAAAATGCATAATCCACCAGATTGCCAAATCACCTGAAAACATTCTTACCTACAAATTTATGGTTGGCCACTTGCTGTGATAAATAATAACATACCAGCAATTTTGTTGAAGCTTAAGTACAGTGACCCTGTGCAGACAAGAAAAACAAACATTGGCCTATATGTATAAATTACAATGGGGATGTACATGTATCTGTCCCTAGCCCTTTAGAAAACATGGAATATTGCGGTAGTCACCATTGGATATTTGAAGTAAAATAAATGTAAAATTGAACCCATACAAGGTTAGAAAACTTTTGAAAAGGGTGTCCATGATACCCATTTTTGTGGGTAGAAAACACAGCAAATATTTTAGCTTCTCTGCAAATCATACTTGGTTTTAAGTTGGGGATTTATATTAGAGCTGTTTATAGAGAGAGTTGTGACATGAATGTGTCAATCGTTGGAACCGAAATGGTGGATTATGCATCATTGAATAAGGACAGTTAGCGCACACTAGTTGCATGCTGTAAATTACACATAATGACCAGCTATTTTGGTCCGAAAGTCTGAAGTTGGCGATACTCCCTACAGTATGCTCTGTGCTCCTGTATCAAACACTGCCCTCTGGCGACAGGTGGTAGAACTCCTTGCTAAACCTTACCTTTTGTACTGAGAGTGCTGTCCATGACAAAAGAAAACACCTTTTCAGGATTGTTGACACAAATTAACTAATCATTCAATTAAATAAGCCTTTTAATGAAGACAATTACAGACCTAACAACAAAGTACTGATGCTTTTTATTTGTTTTGTCAATCACCGAAACAAAACAGTGTGTTTGACAAAAGACAAAACGCTGTGACCTTGACAAGAAGCAAGGCACAAGAGACAAAATACACAATGCATTGTGCAAAAAGTTGAACAGAGAATGGTCTTACACTTTCACGATGACAGGAAGTACAGAGAACAGTCTCCAAACTTTCATTGAGCTTTACAGGAAACAGGACCACTGGCCAGCACAGCGTTATTAATCGAAGCACTCCAGCATCTCGGCACAACTGAAATCACAACCACCAATCGATTGGAAATCCTTCCACAGCCTTCCCCCCCCCTTTTCACACCTCCATGTATCCCCCTCCAGCTAAAACAAACATGCCAAACTTTTGTCCGAATCAAGACTTTTTCCACCTTTTTTTTCTTTGGGCAGGAGGGTCGAAAATGAAAGCCACAGGGGCCTAAAGCCGGTGCTTCCACCACAGCCAGGGTTAGGCGACCAGCGTCATGTTGTACAGGTAAGGTGCACTTGGTGAACACTAAGCCCCAATCAAAGGTTTAATAAAAAAAGAAGAGGCTAGAAGAAAAACATGGAGTTAGAGAGAGAGAGAGAGAGAGAGAGAGAGAGAGCGCATGAGCGCAGAAGGGGGAAAAGTGCTGCTCTTGGGGTTGATGGGATGGAGTGTGTCCTGTAATACAATCCCAGTATGCGAGTCTTCAATACACAACCCTCAGGATATGAAAGCCGAGCCAATGATTATTGCTTGTGGAGTTTCTTCTGCTATTGACCCAATTTGGAGCTAGTGTTACCCCAAAACGGATCAGAAGAGGTACCCTCGGTTGGCAGAGAAAATAAGAAGGAACAGAAAAAAGGTACGAGATGAGCTGTTTCGGCCCCAGTTGGGGGAAACGGCACCAGGGTTTTTTCGAGGAGGCACAGGCGAAGCACGGCTGGACAACATTAATACAAGGTTTCATTTCTCGGGTCCCGGTTTTGATTTGTGCGTGCCGGTGTCAGCCTGCCTGCGCACCCAAGCCTTTTAGGAATCCCCCGAGAGACTCATGAATATTCACGTCTGGGGTTGCAGGGGCTCTTGGGATTATTGGAGCCATATCTAAACCTGGGATGCTATCAAGCTCAGAAGTTTATGGGGGGAAATTTTTAAAGGGGGGGGGTTCTTACAGAATGGGGTGAAGCAGCTGCACAGACGCGCGGACGCTCTGGATGTAATACCATGGTTGTGATTTCTTTTGTATTTGTTGAAATATAAATCCAA